CTCGAATGGCACCCTACTGGAAGAAGCCACGCCCTAGCTACCAGCAGACAGGGAAACCTAACAAGGTGCCAATGGCAGTTCAGTATTCCCAACCACTCTCTAACAACTTTGTGAGCGGCGGAGCGTTGATGTAAGGTTTTGAACATCTTGGTGTTCAGTATTCTTGTTGAGTTGCCATATGTTCCTTCCAGACAAAGAGAAATCTGGACACACTAACACAGTTCAGCCATTTGTATCAGTTGAGTTATAATTAATTGAATATTACAATAATTTCTCACAAAATTTACATGTGAGTGGTCTATACGTATATCATACTTTTAAGACAATACTAATTGTAATTATCCCTCCAGCTGAGTTTTCATTTGCTTGATAAAGCATAAAAAATTTGTGATATAATGTATTATTAACATATTTAAAATTACAGGAATGAATGTTATGCAATTTATAATTAATTGTAAACTGACCATTCATATGTTTCTATGCATGACAGCTTGTCTTGTGTAGTTCAGGTGACCAAAGTGTGTGCATTTCTTCAGGCAGTATTTTATTCTGAGCTCTTTGTTTTCCTCGGTCCGTCCAAGTAAATACAAACGCTACATAATTGATCTCTCAGTAGGTATTTACATATGTGACACCTTTATGGCCATTATTTCCTGTGAGGAAAGATGAGAGTAGTACATAGAAAATTATGTGAGAAAATTAAGTCTGTTTTAGCATGTCTTGGGCTGTTGGCTCTTCTGAATTGATCATTCCTGTATTCAGAATCATTGTTCACAATTCCCTATAGTTGGGCAACATAATCACACCCTCCGTCATGTCCCTGCTCAGTGACAAACAGTATTTTCATGCATTTGATTCAACTGTTTTTGGACACAGTTCTAGTCAGTGAAAGGCAGCAAGATGTCGTGTATGTGGTATAATGTTATCTCAGTGAAAAGATCTGAAAATGTAAAAAGTCTCTGTATGAACATATGACACATATTTGGATATTTTGCTGGGTCAGTATTAGGTAAAAAGTATACCACCTTATTTTGTGTGCTCAAGTTACCGTGCTTTGTATTGGAGATGTGAAAGCAAAACTCAAGAATGTATCTTCTCTTCTCATGAAATCATGAAATATCTTTAAGAAGTATTAGTATTTCTCGGTTTTTTAGTGTTTCAAAATAATATGTGAAGAATTGGAGATGACTCAGGACTGTTTAAATTTAGTGTGTCAGTCTACCCATATTACAATGGAACCTAGATATACCACGGACTCGGATATACCACAGCTGTGATCGTGTCCCCCAATATGATTACATGTTTTACATATTTCACATATAACGTTGGTAGCTTATAACGTGGGTACTGATGCTGTCCTCCAAAACCCGCGTTACGTCAAGGTTCCACTGTATTTGTATTTAATTATATCCATATGCATACAGCAAACAGTTAAAATTGTGAGAAAATATTTTTCCAATTGCTGGCCAAGCTGACACAGTTGGTGTTATATACATACTGTACAAAATTTTGGCTGGAATTGATTTACATTCTTAATTTTGGTTTCATGATATTTGTGTATATATAGAGAGAGGAAGTGGGGGGGGGGGGCCTTATAAATGTCAATTAGAGGCCCACTCAAATACCTGTTAAATTATAAGCCTCAAAAAGGTAACCAGTATAAAGCACAGTCTTCATTATGTTTAAATATACATAAATCATATATTCATTTAGCAGGTGCTATTAGCCTACAATACTGTCAATAAAAATAGTAAAAGGGCCCTGTGAAACTGTCAGTGATCACTGTGTTCCCAGAGAACAGGTCATGCGGCTAGGCAGCAGAGGGGCCAGTTTTTGCTTGCACATCACATTCTAGATTTCTCTTTGTAAATGAAGGAGATATGTGGCAAAAGGTCTTGCCTGTAGACGTGTATAAAGCAGTATTGTTTAAATGATAACGTGGCCTTCATTTTCTCTGTACTGTTGGTATTTTTTCTCTTCCTCTTTGTTTTCATGGAGAGATATATTTTTGTCTAATGAGTTATTTACATTGAGGATTGGATTTATGACACACTTAATACCACCCACGTGTCTAAGTACAAATCTATCAAATAAAACTTATTTTGTTATGATTACTGTTTGTGTACTTTGGAGAATACGGGGATTTACCTTCATACTGGGCGATGATTCTCGGATATTAGTCGCTACTTATCATCACAGGATGCTTTGGCTTACTTCGTTGTTGTTCGGTTCTGTAACTCAAGTCTTCTATCTCTTGGATATGGTATGGTGTTCTTCAGTCCCTGAAATATAGAACATGTCTTGTAACTCGTGTTTCGGTGATGATCAGCCACTGTCACCTCACAGAAGTAAACTGTGATTGTAAATAATTGAAAGTTGAAAGCCTGCTGAGTTATGAACAGCAGTGTTACTAAGATTTGAGTACAGAGTTTATAACCCTATTATGAGAGGTAAATCCATATTTGGAAGACCATTTGATCCTGTGTGATGACAATATGAAGTAATGCTATTGGGATCTTTCTGTTGGGAAAGTGGAATTCTTAATTTTTGCTAACAATAAAATTGTGGAAATCAACAAAGATCTGTTCTGTCTAAAGCATGTGTTTATGAATTAACAAACCAGTATTTGACACAATGGGTGTAGGAAGGTGTCTTGGTGGTTGTATTAAGTTCACATATTAAAGACAAATGTTCTATGTGTATAAACCACCCCCATACTATATTTACTCAGTTATATTTCACGTGATTCCTCAGAGTGAGATTGCTAATGTTGCCAAGAATTAACACACATTTACATATAATTCTAATGATATGTATTTCACTTGGGGATAGAGGTTCCTCATCCTTATAACTAATATTTTACATTAGAAGTGGAGTGGCTTAGAGATTATTAGTATATGTAGAGCATTAATTATTGCAACAGTTGATATCTCTTAACTCTTTTATAAAATATGAGGCCTGACATCGGCATAAACGTCAAGGTGGTGATTAATGGAGTCACTGAACATCTTCTTTTTCTTTAGTAATCACTGTGAAGAGGAAGAAAGGTTAATAGCAGCTCAACAGTTGATTTGTATCTGGTCCTACTCTGTGGTTGTTAAAAATTTCACACAGACTTATTTCACCATGAACTCCCAAGGTTCAGGTTTTTCTGCTGTTTTGTGTTTGCGGTTAGTAAATTAATGTAGGTTCACAAAGAATCATTACACAAACTAATCTGGGATTTCATGGAGAGAAGAAACAGTTCAAGGAAGTTCACTGCTTTTGAATGTTTTGTTTTGATGTTGCACATCAAGAAGCTATCCATCCTCACAGTACGTTTGTATCTTTCATTAATGTTGATGACCTCTTATTTCACTTACATATGCTCCACAGATTCCATTATAATGTACAATGTTATTTACAAGTATTATATATTTATGGAGCAAATGTTTTGAAAAATAGTTACGTGAAATATATTTGAGTTAGTGTAGTGTTTTATGTTTTGTGTGGCTGTGACTGCTGTAGCGTAGTTCTGTTAAGTTTGTGTGCCTCTGTGGCACAGTTATTATAAGTGGCAGTATGTTAATATTGTTGTTATTGTAGTTCAACCAGTGATTGCTATACAACTGCTGGGTTGAATTGCACAAGCTATCATAGGCTATATAATTCATGTTGAAAAATTTTTCCTCTGATAGTTACATTCAAACTAGACCTATTGATGCATGCATAATAAGTTTTTTTTTCAACCTGCTGCCCGTTACATGGGCTGCATTGAGGAAGTCCACATCTCTCTTGTCTGCACCAGATGTTATGTCTGAATCATATATGAAACTGAGTGGCTACTGTGATATGTGTTGGGCAGTTCATTTAGAAATAATTTGTTTGTCTAATATTTTCTGTGCTGTGGTGACTCATTGCTGTGTGCATAGTTTTTTGCATCGATAACCACATTGAATTTCTAATTAGCACAATGTATATTCATTTCCTGGAAAAGTGATCGATAATGCAGAATGTTTAGCTCTTTCACTGCATAGCTTGCAGTAATGAAGCACACTAGCAGCCATTTTCCCTGGAACTCACATTATTATGCATTCAAACTTTACCGCCCTGCAGATCTTGTATTAATGTAGCCCCCCCCTGAAGGATAGAGCACATGTCAGGTACTCTAAGGCTCTTTTTCTTTAAAAGAAGGCATATTTTCTCTGGTTGTTACTGACTGGTACAAAATAGTTACATAAAAACAAAAATTTACAGGCAAACAGTCTCCAGTCTAAGCTGTAATTGTGATGTGTATGGAATATATTATATATATGCAACATATTTTAGTGGAAAAGAAATGCAGGAGTGTTGGTATTGAAGCATATTCCTGGACACAGGGAAGTGGCACTAGCTTGGGTATCTGAACTGCGAAGTGTCACGGCAGGTAGTGGCTGTTATTTCAGTTATAGCACTTGGTATGCAGCGTGGACTTCCAGACAGCACATGTGTCCATCTTTGAAATTATCCCCATGTATCTAAATATAATGATAGTCGTATTTGAATGAAATGTCACTCCACTGAGAGACAGACTAACCCATATAGTATGTATTATTGAAACTTACCATATCTCTATTGTTAAACAAAGTACCTACATCCATCTTCCGAATCGACGGTACATGTCATGTTCCAAGACTGGGTAGCAGGGGTGTCAAACTTTTTATGCTTTTAATACTGAAATGTGAGGAATGACTACTCACATATCTTCATTTATTAAACCTTGGTACAGCACCGTTTAGTTTCTCAGGTTATAGTTGCAAGTTAGGCCTATAATATTTTAATTATTGGGGTGCCAGTGTCTGTCTTTTCAGATCTTTGTACAAATATTCAGCAGCATCTGTGGTATTATGAGAGAAGAACATAAGCTTATAATTTGTTGTGTATTGGGAAGATATTTAAATCTCTCTCCACATGCAGTGTAGCCCAACTAATGTGGACAACAGCGAAAAAGGTTGAAATTGCATAGTGTATGCATTTCTTCTCATAATCTGCTGTTAAGACCAAAGATAGATTATTTTGTTTGGAAATTAGATGCTCGTAATTTCTATAACAATTTTCAGCCCTTTTCTTACAGTGTACAGCCTGGAGCTTAGCCTAGAAATTCAGTTTGTGTTTTGAGATGAAGTACTCACAATGGTGAGGGTGTGGATGATCTGGGTTTTGACACTGAGTACACTCTTAACTAGATGCAAACGTTTCAGAGAAATTTACTGTCTCTATTGTCAGTCTTGTTTCTCTGAAGTGTCGGTATCTAGTTACAAGCCTACACTGTGTCAAAACCCAGAACAACATCATTGTGAATTTATGCTGATGTCACAATTGAAATGTGATGAAACATGTGAGGAAGACGATTGTGTTCAGTATGAAATGTAATACAACTTTAACTTACATGTGATTAGTTTTTGTCTAATGGCAGTATTAAAAATAACAAAATAATGAGATATTGTTCCCAAGACATTTCCACTTTATGTAAGGTGTCTGTGTGTTAGGAAATCTAATAAAATGGATACCATGAAATGCGGGGAAACAGTCCAGACAAATTATTGAAACAGAAGGATGTGGCACATTCATAATCAAAAATGAGATGGTGAATTTTTAAAGAGCATCTCAGTACATGGCGATGCTTATTTCTCTATTAATAACAGGCCTACTAACAACAGAAAACCTACAGAACTGTGCCTAAATTATTGAACTGTGTTCTTAAAAGAACAGAGGTTGGCACCCCTACCGATGTGTTCGCAGTTTGTACGTTTTGTGACATTTGTGTTCTTGTAAATGGCAGGTGTGCTCAGGACTTGGTTTGGTGTACATTTATGCAAGAAACAACAAAGAGGAATATCACATACACATTGCACAGTGTGATACTCCCTT